CCCCCAATCTAGTAATCTTGGGAAGGTTCGAGAAAGAAGTGGCGTGATACTAGTCACGTGACCTCGCTGACGCAACAATATTTAAAGATTACAGCCTCACCTGTGATGTAGTGAGAATGATCAATCAAATGGGTAGTTTAAGTCTCACTGGGTAATTGCAAGAATTATTTGAAAGAAAAAACCTTGGATTTTGCAATCTGGACTGAAACATCATTGAATATAGGCTAATGGATCTACTTAATCATCAGTAACGATCAGAGACGTAATAATATCTTACTTCTAACCACAAAATAGTGGGTTAAAAAGATTAAGATTAACTTATTGGAATAAAAAGACTTTGGTTTTAATTGAATTTTATGAATAGATATGTGTATATATATTCCAAAAATTTAAAGCCCCCAGTGGGCCAGCGGTATGTCTGCAGACTTACAACGCTAGAATCTGGGTTTCGATACCCGTAGTGGGCAGAGCACAAGATAGCCCTTTGTGTAGCTTTGTGTTTATCTACAAACAAACAAGTATATATATAATCCATAAATTTAAACCCGGCATTATATGTTTTTATGATAAAATAAAGTTTAGGGCCATAGGACGTACCTGACTGCGAAAACGTGTTTTTTACTTTTCTATGCAATAACATTAACATGTTTGATCACAAAATAATTATGTTTCATACAGTTATACTTGTCATAAGTCATTAGTAATAGGCCCATTGTATTTTTAAACACTACATTCTTAATCTAGTCCCTGAGAAAATTATGTTTCTTGTATCTTCTTGTTACTTTTCTCTCGTTTATTATTTAACCTCCAAAAACCACACAAGGTATTAAAAATAATTGGTCAAAACAAATATTTTAAATAATCCCTTCTCAATACAGATAGAATAAATGTCTATAAAATAATGAATAATCGTAAAATGAATACAGTAATATTTTTCCTGTGTTTTGTGGGGTCGCTTTACAAAATTAAAATCTTAAAAACAGACTTGGACATATACGCAATATGATTCTTAATGAATGACATATATTTATAACACTTTGGTTTTAAAGTTTTATAACTATAGTTGCCTTAACAGTAACTGTTTGAATCTAACATTGTCGCAGCTTATCTTTAAACTGGATGATGTCTCCAAGTTTTCAAAAATGTACCAGAGGTAAGCGTATTTATAGCAATGTTAGGGTTAGGCTTACAAGTTACATTGACACCTGTCTTTCGTTGTTTTATTTGAGATGAGTATAGTACTTAAAAATTATATTTCCTTCCGTTATTAATTTTGTTGTTCATGTATGACTTTTAATCTTAAAACTTAGGAAATGAGTGATATATACATAGTGTAAAAATTGGTTAAATATTCTCAAATGAAGAGTGTAATTGATAATATTATCACACTTCACAGTGTTTAACATAATATTTGGTCAGACTGGTCTTGCCATTTGGCGCAGAGACTTGGGTAGTGAAGGAGTGTAAAAGTGAAAAGTGGCAGAAATGAGGTGGTTGAGATGCATTTGTGGTGTGACTTTGAGAGATCACAAGCTAAGTGCAGAAACTAGACAGAGGTGAAGGTTTGTAACATCAGAGAGAATGTGTAGAAATTAAGCATGTGCTAAGGATGGGTAAGGACAGTTTGGTGAAATGGGCAGCAGACAGGAAAGTGAAAGGCAGGTTGTGGAGAGAGAGACTAAGAAAGAGATGGAAGGATTTTATGATATAGAATAGTAGTCCAGTAGACCTCAATGTGGTGGATGATAGGTTTAACTGGAGAAGAATCATGAGATATCCTGATCCCATATGAAGTAGGGAGTCCAAGAGAATTATAGTTCCCAGTCATGGAAGTATGTGAATGTGAAATCACAGTTGCAAATATATAAATCTTCCATAAACAGAATAATAATTATTATACAACAAACAAAAAATGTCTACAGTACTAATACACTTTGAGTTTGCATGATTTATTTTAAGACAACCATACTCCCACTAGTTGTAAATTGGCTTTAAAAAATTACAATGATTGCTAAAACTTTCACCATTTGGCAGGGACCAGTGAGTGAATGTTAAAGCCAAAAACATGGTTTCGGTTCAAATTGGCTGGACCAATAAGGGTCATTGATACATCAAACAATAGCTCTCTTCATGCTCCAATTTACTCTGGGCAGTTTCATTGGATCCAGAAGCATTTTCTATTTGAAAACACACAAACAAAACTTTAAAGTCATTTATAGTTTTTTATAGAAACAAAGTCATGCAATAAACTTTGTGGTGCATAAACCGATATGTAGATATGTCTGTGCAACTCGAACCAACAGCATGTCAAAAAATGATGAATGGGGATTTTAAACAAACTATATGTTGGCTTGGCAACAACTTGCTTTATGTGGTAAACAGAAAATATGTTGTCCTGACAACAATTTACTATATGTCATTGTTGGGTGTGGCTAGAGTGATAGAACATGTGCTACAACAGTCTATGATAAAAGTGGAATGAACGGTTTATCAATTACATCATGACATAACGTAGAATGGGTGGAGGTTACTACTAGTACGTATCTGTCAGTCACAGTATTACAAGTTTAAAACCAGTGTGATTACAAAATCTCTCTTAGTCTTTTATAGATACTAAAAGGTCATTTTGAGGCTATTAAATTGTAAAGCATATGCATATTTCCCAATGTTAAAATAGTTAAACCATGTGGTCTAAAGTAATTTTATGATTGGCATAGTTGTTGGGTTGTATCACAAGCAAATTTTTAACTGAATATTGTTAATAACTTGCAATACTACTATAGTTTTTTTGTCTCTTTTTTTTTTGTAATTAGAAAAAGAAAGAGCTAAGTATACAGGTAAAGGTTGAAGATGTGGTAACTAGTTGTTTAAAATATTGAACCATAAATGTTGCTCATTAACTTGTGTTCTACTAAGGGTTTTAAAGGATATGTGAGTCACTCTTTCATTTTTGATAGCTTGTAGATCAGTAGAAAGTGAGCAGGTATCTGAGGAATGGTTAACAGTACTGTTATTTTTAAAGGGGTGCTATTAGTTGTCCTGATTTTTTTTAAAGGATTTTACTTGTCTTCTGGACAAAGAAAATGGTATAAATGTGGCTTACTTATATTTTTAAAATGATTTTGATAAGGTGCCAAACAACAGACTAGTTAAGAAAATCACAGTAGTAGTGGTTGGGACAAAGACTAAATAATTGGATTGTATGATGGATGAATGAGAGAAAGCAAACAATTAATATTGATATAGTCCAGTCATAACAGACCCTTGTTACAAGGGGAGTGCCTCAGAGGTCAGTGCTTGGGCATGTGGTATTTTTCTTATTAATATTTGTATCATTTTGGGCAAAAAAAGAAGAAAGGCTGGATGTATTATGTCCTCTAACTCACAAGGTGAATTTAACTGATTTCTAGTTCCTTAAAAAATGAATTGATTGCAATTTTAAATTGTGCCAATAAATGAGAAGCCACAGCTTCAATTATTACAGAATTCCAATTTGTTAAAAACTTGATTTATATATAAACAAAAATAATGGATGTTTAGTCTATTATGACTTTATAATTTTCCAGCAGAGACCTTGAGTCTTACACTTGAACTTAGAATCTTATAATAATTTCAAAGTCCCTGAAATTTTAAAAAACCTTGAATAAGATCTCTGTGATAAAGAAGATGAATCTCGTATATTCAGGATGTTGAGGTACTACAGACTAGAGCTGGGTGATTGATGGAATTTACTAATCAATTAATCAAAGGGCACATTACTTCATTATATTCAACTAATCAGTTATTCTCATATGAGATTAATCCTATTTTCAAACTAGACTTCATTTAAAATGGTAGATATCTTAAGGTACAGCAATTTAAGATTAAGTTACTTTTTCAATCCTAAACTATTGTACATGAATATGTATCATATATTCAACTTAGTGTAAAACCCAGTAATAAACTAATAATACAACTAATACCATTCTGTGGGTTTCACAAAACTACTAAACAAATTCTCTGTTATAAATAGTTGTCCTTAGATTTCTTGTGACAAAACTAGTAAAGATTCTTGTTACGGTGTGTGACAGATATGTAATTTAGTGAAAATAAATTCACACCATTCCTAGAAAAGGAAAGATAGTACAGTGTTTACTATTTGGCAAGAAACTTGTGATGATATGACCTCATCACAGAGATTAAAATGGTTAATAAGGTGGAAGTTGAATTATTATAAAAAAATATTAAAATCGTCAAAGTCTAAAAAAAAGAATATAAATACTGATGTTTTGGTGCGTTTTTCTAATTCCATTATTAGTGGGAAAATAAATCATTAACTTTATAAGTGTAAAAAATATAATAAAAAACTTTTAAATAAGAAATAATTGATATGACCAGAAGTTTAAAAAGGACACATTATGATTAATATGTTTACATGCTACAGTTTAGAAGAAATTTGTATGCTGAGAAATCAATAAATCAAACAACTTAAAGGTTACTGTAGTCTAGGTAGTGTTTAAGTGATGTGTGACGACAGCCACACTTTTGTCAATATTTTGATTACTTGGATAGTTGGGGTAATCAAAAACAATAATAATTAGAAACACTAATTCCAATAAGGTACTCTCTCTCCGCTCACAAGATTAGCTTTTCTCGTTTTGTGCTGCCCCCTATATGCAAACTTTTTTCAGAAATGCATGCCACAAGCCTTTATTCTCCCTCTGTTGGAATCCAAAGTTCCAACACGTCTCTCATGCAAATCATCATGCGTCACCTCTCCACCAATAGAAGAGCGCTACTATCAAGTGACTCATGTTACCATATCTAATGATATAAAACTGCCCTTTACAAAGTGACCTGTCTTGGCTGTGTTCTAGTGGACCAGTATTTTGTAAAATACAGTCACATTTTGGTTGTAATACATTATATACGTATATACATTAATACTATCTACAAATAAGTTCTTAAGTTTCAGTTATTTTTCTTAAAACGTAGAACAATAAATGAAGACATATAGAAAACAGTTATCTCTTCTAGTTACGAAGTTTGTACTGTTTTGTTGCTTGCCATAATTTGCTAAACCTTATAAAATTTCATATGTGGAGGATGTAAAACAAAATAATTTTTTTAGGTTTTATATATGCATTTTGAAATAACGAAATATTATAAATTACTATTTCAATACCACAGAATTTCACTATAATTTATCAGGCTTATTAACTAAGCCTTAAAAAAATATGATTTTTCGTGCTCGGTAATGTCTTACCTTACCACTTGGAATCTACCATGAAAAGAAAGGGTTTCTCACGTAAATACTTTGCAGAGGCTCAGAAAACCATGTAGGGGACATTCTGAGCTTTTGATATTTAGGATATTTTTTAATATTTACTTTTGAATTAAGAAATTAACTGATGTATAATACTCAAATTTGAATTATAAATTACAATTTGATACCAAACTTATTGACATACATTCATAAAATAGTAGTTCAATAAAATTTTGAATGCAAGTCTACAAATGTGATGACATGGCTTTTGACCCCTGACTATAGGAAGGCCTGTCAGACCTGTCTCGGTAGGATTAACAAGCTCAAAATTTATGTGATCATCTTGCCCAGTTGTTTCCATTTAGCAACTGTTCAGGGTGAGGAATATTTATTGAATCTTCATTAGTAAAAACTGAAGAAAAAGCAGAATTAATAACCCAGCCAGTTGTACATGACGAAATAGACTAATTCTGATAAGTTAATCTTTATTTCCTCAGTAACACATGTATAATCAGGTATAAACTAATTCCTGTTCATGTTGGAACTTGAAAATTTTACACTTGAATATTACATTGGATTTGTAAAAAAAGTATAATTTCTAGGTAGTATACAATTAAGACAGTAAACATTTCTTACAACATAATGTACATTATTCTTGTGACCTAAGGTTTCAGAACAATTAACATGAAAATGAAAAGTATTGTTGAAATAACTTAAAATGTTTAAAATCTACCCTTTCTCTAAAAATCAGTGAAATGTGTTTTACACTGTTAGTTCCCTTTTTTTTTTTTCACTGTTATACTCTGGCATGAACTAATGAAAAGTTTAGTAACTACTAAATGATATTATCTGTCCTTGTGGTATGCAATGAAGAAACCATTGTTAGAATTTATTATATATGTTAGTTAACATTAAAGAGTGTTGCAATGATAATGTTTTTTTATATACAGAAACCAATTTCGAAGGTCTCACCTACATGAAAAAAACCTGTGTACTTCGTGCACAAAAAAATACAGATACAAACAGTTATGAAATGTCTATGCTTTTATTGTATTTTTAACTTGTTATAGTTAATTCCTTATGCTTCATACTTGCTAAAATTACTTGATGTTTTGGCAAGTTGTTGTAGAAGATTTCCGTAACGTTCAATTTGATATGAACATTTTCAGAAATGAAAAGAATATCTAAAGAAACTATAAAGAAAGATATATGGCATTTTTTGTAAGTTTTCTAAACTTCCCATTAGATTCCATTGTTCATCCATGCTGGAAATCTGTCTAGTCACTCTCATGAAACCATGAATTACTACTCACACCACCTTATTTACTCTATAATAATGTATAATCTGTTTTATTCAAATGATGTCTTTAGCTGTTTTCAAACCTGTTTCGTTAGTCATTGTTCAAATCTCTTGACGTGGGAACAAGGCCTATAATAAGAAAAGTATTAACAAAGAAAATAATGAACAACAAACCAAGGAATATTATATTCTCAAGGGATGATAATTTCTTAGCAAACATAAACCTATACTCTGGGATGGAAAGAAAAACTAAAACCATTTAGTGCATTGTTTACATATCAGACTCGTCAAAGCTGTACTTAAGTTAGAGTGGGAACTTTTTGTTTCATATTTCTTCGCAAATATATTAAACAAATGTTGCAAAGTCATAAAATATGAGTTTTAAATTGTGATTATTGTTGTTAACAACTATTGCTATATGTATATTGCATCCTACACTGCCTTATGCATTTTTCAGAATGTTATGTGTTTGTAATAAATTTTGCAAAATTACAAAATATCAGTTAAATTGTAGTTATTGATATTGTTAGTTATTACTGCATATAACATCATACACTGTCATATGCAATTTTCATGATGTTATGCATTTGCTCTATGGAATTTTGAAAAAGTTTGGCCCCCTGCAATGTATATTACTTTTGCAATCCTGTCATTTTATTGTCCTGTTAACTAAGATTTAATGGTTTAAACAGGAAATAATAAAATTTTAACTATTATATTACGAAACTAGTGTGGTAAAGAAGGGGAGGTATAGTTGACGATGTGCTAGGGATATTTATAATAGGCTTAGCTGTAAAGAAGCTGTGTTATTGTTTAGAGTGGGACGTCCATTTAAAATGGACAAGCTTTCTTTGATGAGAAGTTCTGTGTTGGATGTTATTTTCACTATGTAAGTGGATTGCCTTATGCTACTATAAATGTTCTAACTGAATGAATATGTGTATTTAATACTATCGATTAATTAATACAGTCGCTGAAGATGGAATGTGAATATTCCGAAACTTCCAACGAATATGTACGTTACCAAAAATAAAGTGTTGAATGTTTGTTATTGCCGTCATTGTACTGATTATTATCAGATTTAAGGGTGTGATAATGACTAACACATACCTTATTACAAAACTCTATAATATTAAACAGGCTTTATTGTAGAATTCAGATTACCTTCTCAAAGTTTAGGTTGTACATTTATATTACTTTCATTTCATTGGTAGTTATCTGGTTTATGCTTCTTTTTCTAAATTCAGTTTTTCATTTAAAAATAACCGGTGTTCTTGTAGTATTTAATTCATATTCTCAATGAAGTTTTAAATTCTGTTTTTTAACGTTTTTAATTTCTTTATTTCTTGTGAATTATAAAAAGTTGAGGCCATTAACTTTTCTGATTAATAATTGTGTATTATTATTTCAGGTGTTACAGAAGTTAGTACCCAGAGGTATTTGGTTGTCACCCTAGCATTTCCTCTCTAAAGTTGAACTGTGTGTGTTCTTACAAAACCCGTACTACTTGATAGTTCCCACAAGCAGGTGATGTTAATTTCTTGTTGGAAGACATATGCTGCAGTACAATCATTTGTTTATATATCATTGACCAGGAAAAGCATTTATTTTGAAATAATTAATAGAAAAATAATACTATATATCAAAACCACAATTTGTTTACATCTACAGAAAAGCAAGTCTGTATTTACACGATTAGTTTGATTTGAATTTCTATAAGCCACTGTTTAAGAATTTATATATATATATAGGTTACTTTTGAATTTAAACCTTTAAGTACTTTTGCTACTTAGAAGATGTTCAGCCGGATTGCATGTGCTGTCTACAACGTTATGGATGCACTGGCGCCTCCACTTCCTTTGCATGAAGAATTCAGTCATCACTGGACTGCCATTAAAAACTTTTATACCAACAAAAGGTCTGCATGTCAATTACCAGTAGAACTAACTGACATTCCTGACCACTTAAATCAGATGGTCTGTATTTTAGAACAGGAAGAGGGAGAGGGTGAGACTGGTAATGGCTGTCCATGCATGGAATACTTTCTTCAGCAGAAAATCTTGGAAGCTATGTGTGGGTTGGCAAAAGCTGATTCTCCAACTGGTTTTAAACAGCATGTAATTTCTTTTGCAAGCAGAATATTGTCTAGTGTAAAGTTTGATCTTCTACCTCATGCCTCAGTTTGGTCAGCAGTTCAGAAATTAACTATGATGTGTGGTGAACAACTTGCATCACCTTATGAAAAAGAAGAAATGGATTTTATATTTTTTCTGTGTAACAGATTAATGGAAGACCCATATTTGTTTAATCATTTTATTTGTGATACAAGCAGAAGATTTCCACAAAAAATTAGAACTAGACAGTCGGGTAGTGCTCATCAAGTAGACTTAGAGTGTTCAAAACATTCAACCGCTGAGGCTGAAGCACCAAAAATTGATGTCCCTTTAGTACAGTCACTCATCACATTTTTAAACAGTCCAGATCATGATATTTCATCAAAAGGAAATGACTGCCTTGTAAAATGTGCGGCTGCTTTTGATGAAAAGACTGTGAATATTTTGGTTCAGCAAACTGACTTTTGCAGTAAGATTGTAACCTTTATTGTCAGCCAGTACCACGAAGTTCAGAAGCATTGTAACTTGCAAGACATAAACGATGTAGACTTCTTTTCAGTTCATACAGGTGAGAATAGTGGTAGTGATGTTCAACTATCTCCCGGAAAAAGACAAATTCTGTCGTTTGTAAGGTGGGTGAGTTTCTTTGATAATCTGGTTGGTGCACAGCCACAGTTGGGAGAGAGTCTTACAATGTTTTTCACTGATCTTTTTCTGAAAAGTGAGATAAATGCTGAATTATCAGACTTAGAAAACAATGACAAAATTTTGTTTACAACAAAACTGATATCTCTTTGTATCCGTAGCATTGCATCAGAGTCTCTTATTTTATCATTTGGGATATTTCTTGTTGGCAACTGCAAGGATCCAGAACTTCCTGGATGTGTGGGACATTTTCTGAAACAGCTTCTAGTTGACAGATGTCATGAAGCCAAATTATCTTCACAAGTTAAGCTGGCAACTCTGCAGCTGTTTGAAGATCTGTTACAAAAACCATCGAAAGAGGTGTTTGAAAGTTTGGTTCTTAGTAATTTGACTGGAAGAAGATACTATGACTATTTATTTGTTGAGAAGCATGCCCACTTCAGTGATGATGAAGTAAGTTGCCAAAGGAAGAGTTTGTATGAAGAATTTGACGTTTCCCCTGGATCTTCCCCAGTAAGTCGAACCTTTGCACCTAGTTCCATTCACAAAATACTGAATTGCTTCCTCCTTCTCCTCCCAGATGAATTAAAGTCTTGTGAGGAAAGTGAAGACTCAGCTTATGATGTATACATTAAAGATGCTCATCGACAGTTCCAACAGTGTCTACTACTTTGTGATGACTGGAATTGGCCAAATGATCTTTGTTCAGAGTATGAAGAAGTGGAATCTGAAGTGAGTGAAACATCAGATTCTGAAACTGAAGCAGATGCTACATGCTCTTTCTTCTATGAGGGGTCATTTTTAGATATGCTATTTTGTAAACTGGAGAACATGCTGCAACAGCCCTATGAACTAAACCTACAAGTGACATCACTTATCTCTAGGTTGGCCCTGTTTCCACATCCAAACCTTCATGAATATCTGTTGAACCCCCTTATTCCTCTAGTGCCAACAGCAAGATCTCTATTCACAGTGCTGCTTAAGTTAGCAGAAGACATACAGATTGCAGTGCAGGACACCCAGAATTTGAAGAAAAAATTGGAGCTCACAAGAAAAATCTTACTTACCGATGAAGAAGGGTGCAACTCTTTTGAAGAGAGTAATGCACTCGAAGCGATAATTGTACTAGAGGAGTTTTGTAAAGAGCTTGCAGCCATAGCCTTTGTCAAGTACCACACATCTTCCTGATGAAAAATACATTGTGTTCTTAGTATTATTTAGTCGTAATATGCTTCATGTGATAAATAGACCCTTTTCATGTGTTTTAACATGTGGTGGTGATGTTGAATTAACATCTAATTTGGTTAATTTGGAAAACAACTTTGTCTAATCACACATACAACAGTCACATTGGTGGTATTGTTTATATGATTTAGTTAAACAGTGGATTTTTAAACAAAGTGAGGCCCATCTTTGAAAAACAATTTTATGGAACTTATTAACTTGTACAGTACATTATAGGGTGTTGTGTGAATGTTCACCAGATCTAACTTTAAAAATAGCAAGTGAATAATAGTGTCATCTAACACTTGTGAAAATTATCATAATGTTGTCAAAACATAATGTAATTTTGAAATTTTACATTTTAAGCTCACTCTTAGTTTAAATGAAAAAATTAAACAAATGTTTGTAAAATATTTGAATTATTTTAAAGGAAAGGAAGACCTATATGTACATATGTCAGATGAAAACCTGAAACAGGTGAAAGTTGTTGATAAGCACAGTATACAATGTACACTTGTAAAAAAACAAGAAAATAAACAAGAGATAAGAAATCTATTCCATTAATATTCTTATTAATTACGTTTGAATATAATTTACTCAATTTTACAAATTAAAGTTGTGTTAACTTTTATATTGAAATTTAGTAGTGTTCAAACTACTCTCCAAAGTTATTTGTTTCTCATGGATCTAGTATTAATATATGTACTGGCTGCATATGCACAATTTATCAGAGAGTAATGTGTACATTACAAATCAAATATTGTTAGGTGTTGTGACATATGAAAGACCTCTAATTGGCACATGGTTTTACAATATATTTTTATATCAATTTTAAAAACATAAAAGTTACATCACAATAAATAGAAAGTTTATTTTTTAATTCGTGTACTGATAGGTATGAATTGAAGGCTATCATTTTAGTAATATTCTTCAAATTGATTGGTAGTTCGTTTGATATTACATCAAAATAACAATGATAGTTTTTACAAATCTTTCTTTACTGGTGTTATATTTGAAAATTCCAGTAAGAAGAAATCCTTAGTATAGGGCCAGTAGAGATAGTTGTGTAGAAAATTATCATTATCATTGTGATGTAATGTCACACAAACTATTATTCAATGGATTATGCCTTCTTGGCATTATATTTGATAATAATGATCTTCAATTCTTGAAAAAAAATGTATTTTTCATAACTTTCCAGATTGGGAACAATATTGATGACTGAGATAGGTGTACTATCCAGATTGGGAACAGTAATGTTGACTGAGATAGGTGTACTATCCAGATTGGGAACAGTAATGTTGACTGAGATAGGTTTAGTATCCAGATTGGGAATAGTAATGTTGACTGAGTTAGGTGTACTTTCCAGATTGGGAATAGTCATGATGACTAAGATAGGTGTACTATCCAGATTGGGAACAGTAATGTTGACTGAGATAGGTGTATTATCCAGATTGGGAACAGTAATGTTGACTGAGATAGGTGTATTATCCAGATTGGGAACAGTAATGTTGACTGAGATAGGTGTACTATCCAGATTTGGAATAGTCATGATGACTGAGATA